GCTCCCAGCAGGAATCTTTTTCAACGGCCCTTTCTTCGGGAATCCCCGAAATCCTTCCATTTCTCATTCCCTATCGCACCGATCGCAAGAAAAACGGGTGCCGAAAGGGCCAGGAGTCCCTGGCCAGCTCTTAGGGATTGGTGCCACTCTCCGCACTGAGCCGCTGAAATTCCCAGCCAGCCACACCAAAAGGAAGTCCACTTGGTGGCTTTCTGCTCACCTGCTAACAGTTTTTCTTTTAGTGGTTTAATGGAAACCCCATTAGTTGGCAAAAAGTTAAAATCTTAACATCCAAGCAAAATGCACCAAAGTCCAGTTTTGCCCAGACCAGCGGCCATGGACAAACGGGCGCCCTTGTCTTACGGGTTTCAAACATGGGATACTGGACTTCCTGCGCACTTGTTGCAGTCTAATGCAATCTACCGGTGGTTGCCATTGAAACAAACCCCACTGTGAGAGGTTCCGAAAAGGGTCATGAAGGAAACCCCCGTTAAAGGGAGAACCTTCCCCCCAAAAAGGAAAGCCGGGCACCGTGCCACTAGTGTTTGAGAACACCCCCCAACAACTCACTTGGGCTTGTCTTACCATTGGAACCCCCGCGAGGGGCTTCGGTTTGCTTTTGGCTTCCATTCAAAACCAGCTCACGCAAAAGGCTACCTTGAAAACGAGACATCCGCGAATTGGTGAAAAGGAGATTCACCTGCCAACATTGAGTTCAATCCACCGCCCATAATTGTCTTACCCGCGAACAGCACACTTTAGAATTCTACCACTTGAGAGCCAATCAGATCCAATCCAAAGGAACCGTTGAGCGCTAAGCAGAGAGACAATACATAAACATATATATCGATGAATCCACAAATAGACACATACATGAACAGTAAATAGACAAAGTACATAACCCGATACCTGCGTACATTTACACAGCATATTTACTAAATAAACAGATATATAATTAAACGCAACAAGCAAACAAACAAGCAAATCATGTATGCAGATCGATACGCCTTGATATGCTCCATGTGAATAAAGTCAGGATTCGCTTGTCCTTGTTCTTCTCTAGGAACTCTGTGCACAGGTAGGTCACCGGCCCTGCAAAGTGACCTCGGTCCAATTGAGATTTGGCTGCTCGTGCGGTGGTTCCGGGGCGAAGAACAAAACAACGGTTACTTCTTTATATAAGTGTGGCTTTTTTGAAGGACACGACCCCCGAAACACAGCTTGGGGAAGACTAACTCAGACCAAAACTGGAGGTGTGTGTGGGTGTGTGTGTGTGTGTGTGTGTGTGTGTGTGTGTGTGTGTGTGTGTGTGTGTGTGTGTGTGTGTTTGAGTGGGGTGGGGGGGTGGTAGGGTAGGAGCTGCTTTACGATATCAATCGCAACTAGAAAGAAGGGATCCATCTCTACAGGACTAATTTGCGCAGATTGGTTTACTCCTGCGGAAAATATCACGGAACCCAATTGCTGCGTTCCCTACATTTCCCTTGAAACATCACCCGGCTAGCAGGGAACCCACCAAGCAGGTGATGCTTATAATCACCAAAGGGGAACGCCCGGAATCACCAATTCGGCACAGGGCGCTCTTGGTCTAACTGTTTCATCCCTGGTCAAAGCTCTTCTGTGTCATGCAATTCTCACGTCAAAACGCCCTGCTTCAAGAATTTGATGCTACCCTGCTTGATCCCCCCCGGTGCAAGGTTTCCACATGCCTTGCTTTCTTGTGTCAGTTTTCCCAAAGCAAATCATAGCCAACTTCTGCGCGTCCGGAAAACTGAACAATCCCCATTGGGTGCCCGCCTCAAAGAACACGCCACGGGGGGGGAGAACGAAGGAAGGCCTATCTTTTGCCAGGACAGAACTTGGGCAGTAGCGGCACCAGGACGGTATTGCAAAGGCACAGCTCAGCCAATGTTTTAGGGGTCCTGGGATTAGAAAACTCAAATCAACCGACAAACAAAAGGCTCACAAGAAGCAGGGCTCTACAACGATCAGATTCCAATGGACGAGCAGATTCCCATGGGATCCTTGATGTGGATCCCGGCAAGATGCCAATGAGAAATACGATTTGGGTTGGCTGATGTGAGGGCACGCCACCCAAGTCATTGAAGCTGTGCTTTCAACCAGGAACAATATCCTCCAAAACGTCTCTAAAATGAAACAAGAGATCCCGTTACATGCGACGAGGGCCTGGTTGTTGGACCAACTAATGACGGCCCCAAGGCCCAAGGAGGGTGAGCGGGAAAACCACAATTTTCCCCACAAAGTTAAAGGTGAACGATCCGACCCAGCCATCGATTTGCCTTTTGCCCTTTGGGCGGAAGCGCTTGAAAGGCCAGGCCGAGTCTGGCATTCGGGGCTCCCGGCTAATGATGAAGGTGCCCTTCTTGAGGCGGTCGTGGCTAAAGTGGCCCTTCCCCTCGTGTAGGCGCACCTCAGATGAGCAAACAAGGGTTCGTATACTGGGCTGTCCTCAGATCCCCCGCTAAAAGTTTGACTTTTAGTGGGTTAAATGGAAACTACCGCTAAACACTAAAAAGATCCAAAAGGCTAAGGAACCGGATGGCTGGAGCCTCCAAGTATAGCTAGTTCCTACTGAACCAGTAGAACCACCAACAAACATGGAGCTTTCGAGGTTTTGGGCGCACGACTTTCTCGGAACGTCCCTCTAGCGAGGAAGCCACTCGTGACTCATGCGTGACTCTTGGCAGGAATCCGATTCCCTTTTTAATGGAGTGAAGGGAAGCCTACAGGAAACCAACCAGCCTTTTTGGGTAGGGGGGTTGAGGGAAAGCAACAGAAAACCAACCCCTATCTCGGAGGTCAAGTAGTTTTTTGGCGCCGCCTCAAGCTGTGTCTTGCTGTCCAACAACTTTCTGCTACTGGGGTCTCCTCCAACACTATAGACGAAAGCTGAACTGGAATCTGGGCACGTCCCGGGTCCAAATCTGGGGCACCCCAAGAACCACTCCCAGTCCGGGAGTTTCCACTTTGACGCATCGAGCGATTGGTCGCCAGGGCACCAACTTGTTGCACCAGGCCTCTGCAGTGCCGCCCACATGGAAGCACTCCTCGCGATCATTCGAACGGATCCAGCCGCGGAGAGCTTGACAGGGGTTTGGGCGCCGATTTCCTGGCGGTCCAAGTGGGTTGGCTCCAAACAATAACGGTGCTACGAGTGGCTTTCCTTTGCGAACTAGAACATGCGTCCGAAATGGTGGAAACCCGCCTTTGGTTGCCCAAGGAAAATACGGTTTACGTCGCGCTGTTCAACCGCATGCTCTTGCTTGATGGAATCCACAAGGCTTCAAAACACGAACTGTCTTCATGTAGCTGCTCTTGGTGGTGCTGGTTACCCGACAAGAACTGAGTGGGCCGAAGCCACTCCGAGCAAAGAACAACTAAGCGCTTGCAGGGTAAACACACAAACCATGTGGGTGTGTCTTGACATAGGTCAACCCCCCAAACACGTGGTTTCCCGATGGTTTCCCGATGGTTTCCCTCTAAGCGCAGCATAACAAGGCTACCCTCAAAAAGAGACAGACCCATGTGCAAACAGTCCAATCTTTCGATCTTGTCAGGTTCAACGAACCTCACATCAAAAAAAAAGAAGATCTGATCTAGTGGCTATGGAACCATGATACCCTCCGGCCAAGCAAACGTGGTCTTCCAAACCCTTCCCTGTTGGAAAGAGGCTCGTCGTTCCATTTGGGGTTGCTTTCAAATCGGACAACTCTCCCAGCTCCCGCGCACAAGAAAGGCGTTTTACTCCAGTAAAGAACAACATATTCCATCGGTTTTTGCGCAGTCCACCCCCTATCTCCATACGATTTGTCCAGGTTCACTAGCTTTCAATGGGCCACGGTGCTCTCAGCAAGTCAGAATGGGAAGCCAGGAGTAGCCCTGGTTGATTGACCAAAGGGGGGGTGTTCCCATTTTAGCAGGGATCCTTTCCCCCTTTTGGGGGTAACACGCCCTGACCCAGCAGCTTTTGATCCATCGCTCGACATTCGCCGGGAGTATCAACCTGCCTCTTGCTGCAATGAGAGGATCATCCCATGAGCCAGGCGCCTCTAGTTTCCTTGAGGGATCCATTCCCCTGATTCCCCAAGGTAAAACAGGGCTTGCAAGAGCCATTGCCGGTTCCCGCTCAGTGCATGATGGCATAACTCAGGTCCTTTGCAGAAACCCATTGATCTTCCCGATGACTGTTGAGCCAATGCCCCAAACACAAAAGATATTGGAAGTGCCGAATTCTTTTGACACTGACAATTGTGGAATGGGAGTCTGGAATGTTCAGCGTGCACCTTCCTACTAACCCTCACATCCTAGACGATGCTTCAACCCTTTCGGACAGTGCAAAGTGAAAGGCCCCAACTGAACAAGTCCAGGTCAGAGACAAAGCAAACACAGCAACATCAACAGGCATGTGTGACAGCATGGAACCAAACCAAACCACTTCATTGCCAAGCTCGCAAAGGGAACAATCAGGAGCCCTTTCCTTGTTGGCCAGGTCAGGGATTCCTATATTTCCCCCTGTAAAACATCACCTGTACACAGGGAAGCCAATTGAGTGTAGTTGTAGGTCAGAGGGAAATCCAACGGGAAACAAGGATGCTACTGAACAACTGGGATCAGCGCAAACAAGTTGACGTAGAGCATTGCATTACACTGGAGGCAAACGGGAATTCGTGACAACAGGCAACCTCTATCCAATGATTGCAGATGTGCCAAATGATGCCCTAGGAAAGCACAACCCAAATCCGCTTGGATGCTTGTATCAAGAGGAGCTCGTTAATGTTAATCCCAGAATAGGGAGGTGTGAGTCGGTTTAGTGGGGCATCATCACTTTTTGAGGGGAGCCCCCCTATTAATAAAACGCCTTCACTTCCTGTGTGGGTTTGCCCAAAAACGTCTAAACGTGTTGCTTACCAATAAAATGGTCCAATCCACTCAAGTCCAAAACGGAACTCTGGAAGTGAGAAATCCGGGCTCAACATAACTTGCCGGTGCTCAGTAGGGAATGACCCATGGTGGTGGACATGGTCTTAAAGAAAGCAAGGGATGGTTTTTTGGGGTCATTCCATTTCTCATTCCAAAGGGGCCATTTCTGATTCCATTCCATTTTTTGGGTCATTTCTCATTCCCTGCCTATCAAGCCAGCAAGATTGTGGTTCCCCAAAGCGACAAAAGACACGGGGGCTGCTTCGCCCGAGACCCGAGGGAGCGAAAACGACGCGGCGGAGCCACCTCCTCCAACATGGGCAGCACTCCGTTGGGCTTGCCGTGAAGCAGCTCCTTCCAAAAAATCGAGGCCGGTGCGAGAGATATGGGTGTGTCGTCTTCGGAGGGTACCCTTTTTGGGTGGAGTTTCAAAGGGGAACATGAGAACCACCGTTCTTGGGGGGTCCCTCAAATGACACATATATGTGGCCACACAAAGTACCCAAACTCATTTTACTTACCACTACTATGATCTCCCCCCCCCCCCCCCTAAAAAGAAGAAGGAACAACTAAGTCCAGCAACTCGGGAAGTGAGAAGAAGATGTGTGTGCAACTGAGTTTTGGGCAGAGGCTCGCTTCTCACATCCTTTTCAGACTGGTTTCAAGGGAAACTAACAGGAACGCCGGCTATTTTTGGCCCTTGAGGTGCACCTAGTTTGGTCAAGATATAGGGCCCCAGTCAAAGTTGCTGTCTCGATTTTGGGCATGCCTCTCATTTGCTTCAGAGGATGCTCGTTCGGGGTGGGAACTCTCGAGAGTTGACTCTTTGACAAGGAAGACACAGGTGCGTCGGAGACTCCTGAGTGACCCATTTCTGGATTCTGATGAAAATTCCCACGCACAGGCGAGAAAACTATTCCCCTACAAAGTCTGGGTGAAATCCAAAATCTGGATGCTCAGATTCTGCCTCATATCCTCCATGTGTTGCGCAAAACATGAGTCATAATCAAAACCCGGTATTAACATGGTCTACCCAGAGCAATGTAAAGAATTAAGAAGGCGGATATCCGCAGCTATTTATGGTTGGGATTTGGTCCCTTACTCACCTTCATCTAGCCGGGTTTTGAGCAAGTGGCTCACATGAACTTGGAAGAAATCCCAGGTTTGGATAGTGTTTGAAGGGAAACCGCAAGGAACCCCCATTGGCGAGGGACGCCTTGCGTTGTGGGCTGCGCATGTTGCCAACCACCGGAGTTCATTCAGAGAGTGCGCTCAGCGCCAAACAGGGAGGATGCCACACACATCATCGTGTCTAGGAGAGGTTCGAATAAGGGTACCAACTTTTTTCGGCTGTCTATTTTAGTAATATTTTAGTAGGGGAACCCTACCAACAAAGGGCACCTAGCTGGGGGACCTAGGTGTAACGCAAGCTGAAAGGCCTGAAAACCGTTTGGTCGAAACTGATTTAGTTCCGTGAAAGAAGCTTGAAGTTGCTGTGTACCATTCTGCAAAAGTTCAACTTTTTGCGGGTCCAATGGAAAATCTGACCTGTTTCCCAGAAAGTTCAAGTTCAACGATCCAGCCAAATGGTCAATGAAGGAAGGTTGTTAAAGCCAGTTTGACAGATACATATCTTCACAGCGTGTGCTCGAACTTTCGCCATGGCCACGGGTTCCCGTGAGCTCTTACAATTGTTGAGGAGCTTTGCCTTTTTCCCAAGAACTTGCCCCTTAGGGACCCAGACTTTTTGGGACCTTGACCAAACATGGGAATGTTCAACATTGGGAAACCCAAAGGTTATTTCGATCGGTCCATTCGCTTTGGCGAGACAATGGAGATGGACAGAAAACCGTAAAATGGTCTTCCAATACCCGGTCTGGTGGGCTTCCACTGGTACATCTCATATTCTTTCTACTTGGATCGGGCAAGTTGGTAAGCGGTTGGCCAACTGGGTTGAAACCCACTAATAACGAGGGTAGCTCGACTTAGGAGTTCTAAGCGGCTTGTAACTCAAGTTACTAATCACACCAGAAGGCATCCTTGTCGGAAGGTTGCCAAACACCCACCTGCAGAAAAGCAAGCGGTGATTTCTCCCAAAAGAATAAGACTCGACCAAGCTTTGCTCAGGTGAGAGTGCCGACACCCGGAGCGATGAACATCTCTGTTGCCAAGTACCACAGTGGATCAGGGAATGCTTCTTCGTTTGGTTCAAAGGTGTTGGACATTCGAGGGTTGCTTGGCACCTTCTTGGGCCGTCGCATGAACTTATTTTGGGCTGTCCGTTTCTGATCCCCTGCTGAAAGTCGAACACTTGGGAGTTGAAATTGTAACCCAACTTGTGGCTAAACCAAGTAAAAACAGCTAGACACCGAAGTTGGATTTCCTTTTCGGGTTCCCGTTAAATGACAACCACAAGGGGATCCCCTGGAAAAAAAGGGAACCCTTTTTGCGGAAGACCAATTTAGTGGGGCAGGCACCAAAAAAAAAGGTTGGAAAAAGAAACAGGGTGCCACTGGACAACTCAGTACCCCTCCCCAAATCTTCCAAGAACTGCTCCCCGAAAAGCTGGCGCGACCGACCGTGGCTCTGAATCGCTCCAGGATGTCGGCATTGTCCGGGAAGTCCTGGGCTTCCCATTCGATGCCCTCCTCCTGGCGCGAGGAGATGGACATTTTTTTGTCCGGCCGAAGAGCGACCCCAACGCCCAGCCAGTTTTCGGGGGTGCCGAGGTAGATTCCCCCTTTTACATACCCCTTGGACAAATGAACCCACAAGGCCTGCTGATGTTCATACCCCTCTGCCCAAAAGCGGTATATACTCCTTACAAAGTGGGTTGGAAACCGCGGAAGCCAAGGGGTATGAACAAGGGGTATGTACTTTCACCCTTAGACAGTTGATCCCAGGCGCTTACCAGAGCGAAGGGTCTAAGCAAGTCGAATGGGTTCCACACGACGGAACAGCTACCAAAACCCCACCCATTTGGGGTTGTGGATTCGGCACTTGACCATTTAGTCATTGGAGGGGTCTATTAGCAATAGCCCCTATTGCCGGGCAGCGAATCAAAGGCGCTTGCCATTCCAGTAGGTATCTCTTCGCCTTTTTCCGAGTGTTTAAAGGTGTAGAACCCCCGTTAGTCGCTATACAAGTACATGGATCTACAGGAAAAGGGGTCAATGGATCAATGGGAGAGACATGATTTTACAAACTTCCGTCGACGCTACGTACAGGGCATGTACCGAAATCATGACCCGCTGTTCCTTGGCGTTTCTTTTCTTTTCTTGGTGGCTTCACAACATCTAAGACCATGTGACACCCGGAGCCCGCGAAAACGGGTGCAAGTGACACTTGCCACTAGGGAGCAAAGGCCATCTCGTCCGATTCGGATCTAAAAGTGTCACTCATGGGATCATTTTTTTGGGGGGGAATTTCAACCAAAGAAACTTGGAACAAAAACTGAAGCTTAAGGAACCCGACAAAGCGTCCAGCTGTTTTGGGGGTAGCCTGGAGCTGGTGGGAAGGCACATTAGGTAACCCCCGAACTGGTGCTTTGGATCGGTGCCTTGGTAACGGGTAAATGGGAAGCCACACCTGCAACTCACCAATCCAAACGACCAATTCGCGGGAAGCTGGAAGCAAAAAGGAACTTGCAGGATGCCACAGAGCAACTAGTTCGGAATCCGATTCTCTAGATGTCCGATTCTCCCGAACCACAAGCTGCTTCAACGCCCGCATACAAACGAGCCCGGCTGTCAAACCCGCTGGAACCCTGCGCCCTAGCAATGAACATTGCGACTGATGTGGAATTGCTAACGCTGTGGCCAATAGCAATATGCATGTTCACAGCAAGTGTCTTTCCACAGTCACTTTAGACAATCATGCTTTGACTAGCTCATGAAGAACCCCCCTTCAAGGCCAGACCCCCTCCTGATACTGCTCAAGCACTGGACAACACAATTGCTGCTCTTTGTTTCTCATTGCCGTCCTGTTGGCCAAAGCAGAGATCAAAGAGAAATTGATGGAAAGGGCTGGCGAGGACTGCAACAAAAACGAGGCGTTCAAAGGACACTCCAGAACCAACTGTCCAAACCTTGTCGAGTTTGGGGAGCACAGCTGATCTGGTGACCCTGGTAAAGAAAAACAACCCTTTTCGGGGTTTGATCATGTTGAGTGAACAAATTAAGAACCCGGGGATCAGGGTGGAATCCACTGAACAACTAGGAAGTGGTCCATGGTCCCCCAAAAACTCATGAGGCCCTTGACCTGTAGACTCACGGCTTGTCCTGGCCTATGGGAAATGGGAATCTCATGGCATCGCTCGCTAACATTCGGGCATCCCTAAGGGGCGGTCCAAGGGGGGGTTCCCCAAGGCTCTTTTAAGGAGAGGATCTGGCCCTAGCACTTTCAACTACACACTCTTGTACCTGCACTGGCGGATTCCAGAATAAGAGACCAGGCAATTGGCTGACGTGGGCTGATTTTGCAAGTCGACGGGCCGGCTTGGGAGAGTGAGGTGGTGACTGGCCCATCGCCATGTGGTCCCTTGAGGTCGCAATACGTTGCCCAAAACCGCAGTTCGGAGGTGGCCCCGGGCAAGAGCTAACCGTCAAACCACCAAACCGAAGCACCTGTTTTTCAGGCAAAAATAGGGGCCCCCAACGCATCACTTACCATGGCGGCTTACAATCCATCTTTCTGAGTGGATTGGCCCGAACAAGTCCTGGAACTTTGGTTTCACCATTAATCTGGTCCAAACCCAAACAGTGACTAAAGTCCATGAACCCAGGGAGTGAGTCAATTTAAGTCAGTGGCAAGCCTTAGGACGTGTGGTTCAACTTAAGCTTGCTCGCATCGAGCGAACCTCGCGCCATTCACAGGGTTTCAAGGAGATCGAGCGAGCACTATCCTCTTCAGGTGACCCACTCGAGAAAAAGCAAAAAGATACACGAGATAATGAGTCACCTGAGGGCTTATCACTTCCCCTTGCCCAGAAGTCTCAACGAAATTGGACAAAAACGGCTCGCAGGCTTGTCTCCTAGAATGTCCCTTTAACCTGGAGCTCTTTAAACACCAGTCTACACTTGTTGCCATGAGGAGAATAAAACATGACACACCCAAGTAACGAGTGACAGCTCACATCTCAATTTGTCCGTTCGTTTTGTTCAGATCTGACCTGAAGGTCGCAATCGGCAACCTGACTCGACCTAGGTACCCGGTCCTTATACAATGCCGTCTCGTGCTCGAAGATGAAGACATTGAAGAACCTGAAGAAACCAACGGCGAGCGGCTAGCTCGCAGCTTGACTTTCAGTGGATTTCCATGGGAAAATACAAAAATCGTCTCACTTCCAGCAAAGTTTGAGCCTGGAGGCTCCTGAGCAAAACCGGAAGGCCCTTTTTATTTGGGTATGTGTGTCTGTTCCAAAGGTGGCTAGAGTCTCTGGACCTCCTACATGGGGATTTAGGAAACCCTCAGCCATGTTTTTTTCATGGGTGCCCGCTGGTTTGGATTTGGAATTGAGCAGGTCCCTGGCTCTTGTGGATTAAGGGGACACTCTATCACCCAAGCACCAATCCAAACCACCAATTGGAGGGAAGCTGACTTTTCCAGGCTGTTCCGTACGGGGGAAAAAAAACAAGCATGGGCATTCGAACATTGATGATCAGCGTTTTGGATTGCTATGGCTTGGCCCAACTCCGAGGTACACAAGATATGTTGAGATTCTGTTTCAATTATAGTCTACCTTGAAATATGGCATAGTTTTGGAGGAGACTCCAGTTGCCAACAAGGGGGAAACCACAAGGTCAGGTGCGTTTTGGACTGTTAGACCTTGCTTGCTTGATGCCGCGATCAGCTCAAGTCTCTCCGCCACGAACAAAAATTAGATATTGACGGACAAACTGCTGCAAGTTATTTAGTCAGTATTCATAGTGACCAGTTATGGGATAAGCCGGGATTATCCATTGTCCTTTCATCCGAACTGGAAGCCAGGATATTATTTGGTTTTCATAGTTCTTCCAATCGAACTACAGGATTGTGGGATCTAAGTGGTGCCACGACTCATTCTTTTGATGGCCTGGGCTTTGGCACACTGTGGCCACTGCAGGGCTGTCCGATTCGGATCCCCTGCAAGTTTCACTCGCGGCTTAAATGGACACCCCCCCACTACACCCTAAAAACCTAAAAAAACAAAAAAACATAAAAACCTAACACCCCCCCCCTAAATAAATAAATAAATAAAGCCTAAACACCAAAGAGGACGGATGGGAACCCACCAAGCCAGGCTTGTCCATGGCCAACGCATGCCCAAACGAGCCCCACGCAACCCGAGCCCTCAGGCTGGGGGGCCGGGCTGCTGCAAGAGCTCATTGGTGTAGTTGATGCAGAGCTGCCTACCGCCACGGACGCCGATTTGGCTATGGCTCCAAAAACCGGCGGAGACATGGACTTCAAAACCCGCGCTTTGCCCCCCCTGTTTCAATTTTGAGCCACACCCATGTGTGAAAGTACGCGCCCAGCACGGCGGCTCCTTTTTTGTTTGGCTTCCCCTCTAAACCGACCTGAAACATGGTACCCACCAAAACACCCCCCCCGCGGTTTCTGTCAGAGTTCCTATGTTTGCTCCCCAAGGCCCACTCTGGAGGTAGCATGGCTCGTTCGCATGCAACGTGCCAATGGAACTCTCTCATCTTTTTGTCCGTTCACGTGCATATCGGATTGTTCGCAACATGCAACATACCGATGTCACACGGACTCTCGTTTGTCCCATCTGAGTTGACTCAATTGGTTGGAGCCTTTGGCTGACATCCTTGTGGGGTACACAATCCGAACCAATTTTTGACTTTAGTATGTCCCAAACTTGAAAGTCATGGTCTGTTTCCCTCCTTGTCATGGGGTAAGTAAGGAAGTCCAACCAATGTTGAGTTTGGTCCAAACTTGAAAGTCATGGTCAGCTTCCCTCCTCTTCCCTCTCACCTGGATTTATGAAACCTCCTAACCCACCGTGTCAGTAGATCTGGTTCGCAGGGTTTGGCCGTTTCCAACACGGCGTTCATGCAACCCTCTCACCCACACGGAATCCACCAGGGCCGGTAAAACAGAACAATACTCAAGGCTTTTAGCGGTTGGGCGGATCCGGGGGGGGGGGGGGTGGAATCCGCCTGGAGACGTCTTAACCGAAAAAGAAAAAACATGGGTTCATGGCCCCTGAAAAACAAGTGTTCTCCCATGTTTAATGGATCATGGAGACTCCAAGCGTCTTGATCCCCCCTATGCAGCTTAAAATGGACCCAACAGTGTAGAGTCTCCTTTTGGAAACTAGGTTGGACCCCTTGGGTTTGTGAAACAACATCTTTGCAGCCCTTGGCATGGGCGTGCGAACTCTCTTGCAACAAACTGACTGGTTTTTGCAGCCTACATAAAATGAACAGAAACAACAACAACCTAAAAAAAAAAAAAAACACAGCTAAACACATGCCAACAAACTGTGAAGTCATATGTCTAGAATTGTGGTCTTCCTTTCGGTTTCCCTTTGAAACCAACAAGGGGCACCAAAGGTTGAGCCGTGCCAAGCCACGTCGTTTCTTCGGCCCGCGGGCCACCCATCCGAGCGGCTCCAAGGAGTTCTCCTTGAAGAACTCGAAGCCGAAGATGTCCAGAACCCCGCAGAAGCCTTCGCCCGACTCCTGGCGAGAGAACTTCCCCCGCATTCTCCGGAGGAAATCCGAATCGCGCGATCTGAAAGCCGGAAAGAAACGTGGTACCAACTTTTCTGTAGTCTATTTTAGTAGGGGAACCCTCCCAACCAAAAAAGGGGAGAGAAAGGGCACCTAGCTCGGGGACCTAGGTGGGGAAACCTGAAAATACTGTGGAACCATGGATAAAAACATAAATGTTGGTTGGTATTTCCCCTGGGGAATCATATCATTCCAGGGCTTCTGAACGGTCGTGCAGGATTTCGTCCATCTGCAGTATTGTTGGTATGATTGGATGTTGGAACAAGAGAAGCCTGCTTGACTGGGCTGTCCTCAACCTGCAAGTTTAGCTTGCGGGCTAAATGGATCCCCCCACCAAACCCTAAAAACATAAACACCTACGGGACCCAGAAGGACTGCTGGGAACCGCCCAAGTTGAGCAGCCGATAGGTTCATCCTGCCTTCTTATGATGGGTTCAGATTCGTTCTGGCTCCTTAGGGAAGAACCCCAGACTCCTTGCCCACACCGATGGAGCTGTTCGAGCGCTCCACAATGTATTTGAAGATCGCGTGGTACCTCAGGATCGGGTACCAAGAGGCAAGGATTTGTACTTTGGGAGGCAGAAGCGCCCAGGACCCCTTTGCAAAAACTTGGATCCATTTGCAGCTGTTGAAGCTTCCATGTTCGTCTGAGGGAGGGTAATTGTCCCAGGGCGGGTTGGGATTGTCTTCAGGGTTGTAGCCCAAGTATCAGGGCACCCCGCTCTGGCCCCTCTTGCTTCATGGCCTGCTGAGCGCCCTGATGAGAAACCCAGTGGGTCTAATTTCCTGTAGGCAACAAAGGAGACACCTGTACAGATCAAAGGGACAATGAGTAGTTGCCTACTGTGGATGGACGAAATCCAGCACGACTTTGCAACCAGGGGAAACCATTGTTGGCTGCTACATGGTTTCTTGGGTGGTGCAGGATTTCGTCCATTCACAGTATTGTAGTGGTAGGGATCCACTGGGAAACACAACAGCTGCCTTTGTATTTCAATTAGTTGCTTCATGCTTCTTGCCAATGCTTCGTGGTATGAATCCCACTATGTATGCTGTTTGAGGCAAGGGGAACTTGCATCAAGGCAACACTTGTCTACATGAAGGTTGCTGATTGAACAGCAACATCACACACTGAAAGACACACACATAAAACCAGTGCTCTGGTCGCTTTGGGCATGTCAACTCGAATCAATCTCAGTGAAAGTCTCAACTGCAGGCGAGGCAAAACACTCAAAGTCTCAGGCAATACACTCAGGTCTACTCTCAGCGATTCGTTGAACTCTTGCTAGAAGTTGAATTTTAGCTTGACTTTGGCATAATCCTGCAAACGCAGCACAACATTCAAAGTATCAGGGTATGCAAAGGAATTGCCAAGTCATGTTGGCACATCCTTTGAAGATACAGGGGGATCCAGAAAAAATGCGCAAACACGCTCACATCCCCAAAAACCATCGACTCAAATCCCAGGAACTTGCCCTCCAAATGGGTGAAGTCGCGAGAGAACAATTCCCAGATCCGAGCAGTGAATTCCGAACAAGGCAGCTTTGGAGCTGTCAGGGACCCCTGTCGCAACGGCCCCATCCTCCCCACCCCGCTCCCAAAAAAAAGGAAGCAACCACAAAACATCCGCAACTCCACCTCCAGTTGCTTAAGTCCCCTGAAAAAATGAAAATTTTACCAGTAGTGATAGATTCCCTTTAACACCAACAGGGGAAAAAACAACATATGCATTTCAGCAAATGGAAGTCCACGTTTCGTCGTACTTGGATGCTCTGCTCGCTTGCAGCTTTGGGACCTGGCAATAAAAAATGATCACTTTTTGCGAGGCTTTGCGAAACGCGGACCAAGGCGGAAAAAGCGCAAGGTGATTTGGGCTGTGCTCAGATCCCCCGCTAAAAGTGACTAACTTTGAGTGGCCTCAAGGGAAACCCAACCACTGAACCAACGAAAAAGCTAAACAACTACGGAACCGGACGGCTGGGAGCCACCAAGCTAAAAGGTCGACTCGTTTTGGGGAACTGAGTATGACCATGGAAGGGGACCGACCCCTTGGTTGTGACCACGGTTATACCCTACTCAAGTTGGTTGGACATCCAAGTGGGGTCGGTGGAACCCAATTTCTAGTCCTCACTTTCTGAGTTGCGACCTTTTCTCAAAGTGGATCAACATAGCAAAAGCACAAAGGTTAAAAGCTCGATTTTCGCTTGCAGAGTCTGGGTTTGAACCGTGCACGTGTTTTCCCCACACCGAGCGCCGGCTACGGATGCGACCGAGCGACAAGTGCCGTGCCAGCGCGTCGCGGCACGCCGCGGACTTCTCGAGGTTCCTCGGTTCAAAGCGCCAAAACTCCATTTAAGCGTTTTTCATTTTTTCTTTTCTTTTTTCGGGGAGTTTTTCCATGGGAAGCAAATGGAAACCCGAAATCCATTTCTGGGGTTTCATTGGACACATACCCATTGGTTGAACGCCCCTCTGCTTTTTGATTCGTTTGGGGTGGCTTTGGAAAATGGACACCTCTAGGGTTCCCTTCAGAAAGGATCTGAGTCTTTTCAGGAAACCATCAACACCCCAGGGGAAACAGATCCGGTTTTTGAAAAGAACGATGGTTGAAACGAATGGAAAAGGAATCAACCCCTAGAACGCCGGAGATCCAGGGTTCTCTTGGGCTGGTTGATTCTTTCGGGACTTCCTGGGACTCCCTGAATTCGACCTTGGGGTACACACGGCTGCCCGATTTCCCATCCCCCCCTAGAAGTGACGAACTTTGAGTGGGTGAAATTCGTTGAAACTACCACTAAACACTAAGAAGCTAAAAGGCTAAGGAACCGGATGGCTGGGAGCCACCAAGTTACCATTGTAGTAGCTGGTGATGTCACATGTCGCCTCTGTACGGTTTGCGAATTGGCAGAAACCGCTATTTGGCAGATTTCCTGTGCATCGCGCAGGGGTTGGGGGGGGGGGGGTGGTTGTGGTTGCGTGGACGGATTGCGGAAGTGAAGGGCCTCAAGAGCTTGCACAATATAGTTTTGGAAAAAGGCGATGTTGCTCTTCGATACCAGAAAAGCCTCTTGACATACAGTGTTTTGGGGCATAAATTCGGTATGACCGGAGTCTGCATGTCTTTCTCCGTGGTTTCGAGCCATGAACAACCCACTGCTACTTCCTATTGGGTTGCCTCTGCCCCACAACTGGAGCACAGAGGAATGCAATTCGCGGCCAGCGGCCAACTGGAGCCCCCGAAACCTGCCACAGCGAGTTGCATAAGCAGAAGTTGGCAAGCTTGAAAAATGTGCGATGCCACAGACGTGCAAAAAGGCCACGGTTCACGCAGTGCTGTATCTCTGACTCTCAAACCAAGGCTTTCGCAGTGAATAATGCCCATTTGTTGCCCTCTCATGTATCATCAAAGCTGCTCAGGCCAAACAGTTTTTCAGAGGCCGCCCACGAAAACGGCTTTTGCAAATTTTCATTGGAACATGGAGCGACATGCGATTGTGACCTTAGGTTTCCACGCAAATCCAAGAGGTAAACATACCTGATTACGTACTAATTCTCATGGTAGCTAGAAGCACTGGGAATAATTTACGACAAGTGGCCATGTTGCAACTGGATGTGGTTGCATCACTTGCCGTGTTTTAGGATGCAACCGTGACGTCTTGGCCCCTAGGTAGGTCCAAAACGGGCTACTGGGTCCAATAAAGGGACATCCTCAACAATACTTGTGGAAACCCTAAGGGGGGGTGGGTGCGAGGGGGGTGATTAGTTGAAAGCCCCTTTCGGGTTCCTTAGCTTTTTGTAGGTTTCTTTAGGGAGTTTCAGGGAACCCGAACAATTCCGTAAATCTGGGCTCTGGAACAATCCCAAGATGTCTGTCCTTGTTGGGTGTACTTTTGGCCACAACCCAAATGGGCAATTCGGCGCCCAAATGCTTCTCTTCTTTGGTCCCCAACAGCAAGCTTTGGGGTCGCCCAGAAATCGGCTCCGGGGTGGGCCGGCCCGGGCCGGTGAGGTTCCACGAGGGTTCCACGAGGTTTTGAGAGGGCTGCGGGGTGGTGCGAGCACTAAAACGAGCACCGCATGCTGGGGATATCACCTGAGCTTATTCACCTCCGGTTGATTTGCATTTAGTTTCCCTGGAAAACCATCCCAAAGAGGATGCCCACCATCTGGAGACCAGATACCATGTCCTTACAGAACTCCGATACAGATATGTACCAATGGGTTTTGGGGTATGTACCCTGTATACCCTATGTATAACTATACCAATGTCCTTGGATGCTGTAGATCCCCCGCAAGTTAGACTGTTTGGTCTGAAACGGAAATATACGGGCTACTCAAAAAGCTAAATCCGAAAGATCCAACCCACTTGGAGCAGAGTAGTTGAGTTGGGGGGTACATGCCTTATTCGAAGGATGGTTATTGGGGTATGACCTTGCATACCCCATGTGTAATGGTTAGTACCCGCTTACCAAGTACGCTGCTCCTGTAAGGTGAAATATGAACCCAACCATTGCTTTAATAGCTGTTTGAATCCCTCAAGCCCCCTAGCCAAAAAGACAGTATTTCTAGTGGTGAAATCGATTCCCCTTTTTCACCAAGAGGGGAATAATAACAAACATAATGATAATAGTAATAATACTAATGATAATAAAAACAATGATAATAATCCGCCGACCCTCTGCCTCCCGTCCCAGCCTCCTGCAGAGGGGACCGGCGTGGGATGCAACTGGAAGTGATTGGAATCAATGATAGTCCCTGGGGGACACGCCCGAACCCACAAAAAGTGGATTCCCAGGACCGGTCCCGGGACCGGTCCCGGGACCAGTCCTGGGACCCTGGGACCAGTCCTGGGACCAGTCCTGGGACTGGTCCTGGGACCCGTTTTGGATTACTTGTAAGCCAAAACCGGTCCTGGGACCGGTCCCAGCACCGGTCCTGGGACCAGTCCTGGGACTGGTCCTGGGACTGGTCCCAGGACCAGTCCCAGCCGGGGTTTGGTCCTGGGACTGGTCCCAGGACCAGTCCTGGGACCAGTCCTGGGACCGGTCCTAGGACCAGCGGTTTGGTCCTGGGACTGGTCCCAGGACCGGTCCTGGGACTGGTCCTGGGACCGGGTCCTGGGACCGGTCTGGGAAGCCGGTCCGGGATCGAGTCCTGGTGTGACCGCTGGTCTTGGGTCCCAATTCAATATGCTGTGCTGCCTCAAACCGCTCCAGACACCTTTCCGGACTGGCACCCATGACCCTGCGACCAAGCCGGCCCGTGCGGTTGTTGACGTCCTTGTGGTAGTAGAGGATCCCATCTATTCTGCAAGAGAGTCCAATACGGACCAGCCTGGACAGGGTCCCAACCGGTCCCTGCCGGCGACCGGTCCAGGGCAACTTCGGGAGGGCCAGTTTCAGGGCGACCCCGGGAGAGGCGACTGCTCCCGGCCAACTCGAAGTGACTTGGGCGCAAGCCGGCCCAAGCGGTAATTAACGGACTAGCTGCCCTATTTCTGACTTTTCCGTTAATCCTTGTTTCTGGTCAACTTCGGGAGGGCCAGTTTCAGGGCGACCCCGGGAGAGGCGACTGCTCCCGGGCCAACTCGAAGTGACTTGGGCGCAAGCCGGCCCAAGCGGTAATTAACGGACTAGCTGCCCTATTTCTGACTTTTCCGTTAATCCTTGTTTGTGGTCGTAGAGGATCTTATAAGTGGTCCCTGGGTTTGCGGACGTGTTTCAGGACCGGTCCTTGTGACTTTTCCCTTAATGCGCCGAGGGTCGGCGGCAGCAGGCGGGAGCCTGGTTAATCCGGCCACCGGACGTGATCGGGCCGCAGGCCAAAGCCCGTTAGGGCTTACCTTCAGGTATAAGGCCGCGCGCCCCATGCCGCCGACCATGCGCGGACCATGATGCGCAGAACATGCGCATACGTTTTATGCTGGGCCCTCCCTTATAAGGGGCGAAGGATTTGCGGATTGGTTTAGGCGTTTTTGTAGCATCTCCCCGCAGCATCCAAAAACGAGTCCAAAAACGAGTATTTTTGGGGGGTGCCTAATACTGGACAACACCCCCAGCATTGCCAGCATCATCCCGGATGATGCGGATGATGCTATGCATGCTGGCGATGCGAAACAAGGGGCTGAAGGGGAAATGCAAGGAAACAGGAGTGACTGGAAGTGAACGAAATGCAAGTCAAAGGAATTGCACGAAAATGAAGCGGGCACTGGAGAGAAACCGAGATGCGGGAAAATGCACGGGCAGAGCGTGAAGGGAACCGGACAGCGGGAACGAAAAGGGAAAGGAATGCAAATAAACAAATGGGAAATGGCTGGATGGAATGGGCTGGAAAAAAAGCATGCAAAATTGATGGAAATGAAGGGCGTTGATGAAAAAAATGCGGGGAATGGAGGGAAAGGGGATGGATGAAAATGTGTGGACAATTGATGGAAAGTTCCTGGAAAATGCATTGATGGAATGGATGGAAAAAGGATTGCAACAGGGTGCAACAGAATGGAAATGGATGGGAAATGTCTGGAAAATGGATGTCAAAGGAATTGCACGAAAATGAAGCGGGCACTGGAGAGAAACCGAGATGCATGGAAAATGCACGGGCAGAACGTGAAGGGAGCCGGACAGCGGAAACGAAAAGGGAAAGGAATGCGCATAAACAATTCATAGGAAATGGCTGGATGGAATGGGCTGGAAAAAGGATGGACAAAAAGGATGCAAAATTGATGGAAATGAAGGGGCGTTGATGAAAAAAATGCGGGAAATGGAGGGAAAGGGGATGGATGGAAAATGTGTGCACAATTGATGCAAAGTTCCTGGAAAATGCATTGATGGAATGAATGGAAAAAGGATTGCAATAGGGTGCAACGATTGAGCATCCATGGCGGACATTGCTTGGGATGATGCAGTCGATGCAGGGGGTGCTGTCCACGCCGTTCAGGGACGTGTGGGGAAATGAAGGGAAAGGCGACTGGAAATGGATCGCAAATGTCTGGAAAATGGATGGAAACTTCATGGAAGCTGGATGGAAAGTTGCTGGAGCATGCAGGGGGCGCTGTCCGTGCCGGTAAGGGACATGTGGGGAAATGAAGGGAAAGGTGGATGGAAATGGATTGTGGAAAATGGATGACAACTTCATGGAAAATGGATGGAACATTGCTGGACAATGGATGGAAACTTCGCGGAAAATGGGTGGGCAATAGATGGACACTTGCGGGAAAATGGGTAGCAAATGATGGAATGCATGGACAAAGGATGGAAATGCATGGAAAACAGCTGGATAATGTATGGAAAATTGAGGCTTCTTTTTTTAAAACACTTTCCGTGCAGAGTC